GGCGGGCCGGGCCGCCCGCCGTGCTGCGCTGCCTGGGCGCGCAGCGCTTGTCGCTGGCCGGCGCCGCCTTCCCGGCCGACTTCTGCGAGGGCACCTTGCCCTACTCCTACAACCTGTGCGTGGCGGCGCCGCCCCGCGCCACCCCCGAGGCCGCTTGGCCGCCGCCGCCGCTGCCCATCGTGCCCGCGGAGGAGCTTGTGGCCGGGGAGCCCAGCGAGAAGCCGAGTCCGAGCAGCAGCGCCGTCGCGGGAGAGCCGCCCACCGACCCCGAAGCACCGCAGGTCTGTAAGCCCCTTCACTCCCTCCTTCTGACGTTTTCCTAAGGGTTTGCAGGTGGCAGTGGGCTCTTAGGGTTTGTGTCTGTTCTGGTGCAGTTAGTGCCCGTCGATGTTTCCACAGGCGCGAGTAGTGACTCCGCCCCGTTTTAGGCATCAGGCGTTGCCAACTGCACTTCCTGCCTTATTAGCTGTCACTGATGTCGGCTCAGTTGGGAGGTTGTTTTCGTTCAACTTATGCTGCATGAAATCGTATAGGACTTGTAAAGGTCTGCTTCTGCGTTCTGCTTTTTTTAAATTTTCCTCTCAGCGCAGTAACGTAGCAACAGCACCTCTTTGTTCAATTGCTCACGTTTATCTGCAAACCTTGTATTGTGTGAAATAATATGGGTTACTAACGGTGAAGGTGGATACTTAGATCTTAGAAAGAGATCTGCTAATTCCACATGGTGGAGTTGGCAATGCGATTGACACTGAGTAATGAGATTTTTCCCTCCTGATCATTCTTTGCCGTGTAGATGCACTGAGATCTGTTTCTTTGCTATTTTGGAATGTTAAGGAAACTTGTTAGAGGAAGGAGGAGTAGTTCTTCCCTAAGGAATATGCTTACCTTCCACCCTGTGCCGTCCCATTTTTTGGTGTAAGTGGGCTACGGAAAAGGCAAGTTGTAGTGAGATCAGTTTATTTTATCAGAGCTTTATTTCTTTTTTTCTGTTTCTGCGATTATTTCTCATTCAGAATTTGGTGGTTTATTTACCGTTCCTCAGCTGGTTTTCTACAGATAGATAAATGTGATCTAAGAAATGCTTGATAGCATCTCTCGCTAAGGCTGTGATCAGTTATGGAGCACTAAGCTGTATACAAAAGCACCGCGGTACGTTTAGGATGTAATGAAAAAACTGGGAAGTACTGTTTGGAGGAGAGCAATGCAGACTGGTTCAGAGCAGCGTCGGATGTGCAAGTGAAAAGTAAAAAAGCAGAGAGGGAAGGGCAGTCCCTAGAATGGCTGCTTTTGGGGAGCAATCTTCATCATTGCTATGTGAAATTGCTCGGGCCTGGGAATCTACCGTGACTGGATGTGTTCGAGTGTTGACGTTCAGAGAGGAAAAAACTAGAGGACGACTGACTCAAAAAGCTCTGCAGTTGCAGGGGGGATACTGTGCTTTCCTATCATGGAGTAGTAGATTCGGAATACTCTGCGCCATATTAAAAGAACTTTGTATCTATAGATTATCGCAATCTAAAAAATATTTTCCCGTGCGGTAGAAAGAACATAACGCCAGGTCTCCGCTGTACTGGACCCGACATTTCCGCGGCGAATGTCCCGTCTTTTTGAGCTGCCCGTGGGCGAGGCAGGGCGGGCACGTCTCGTTCGCGCTCGGTGCGTGCAGTGCCGGGAGGAGGCTGCGGGCGCCGCTGTTGACCGAGAGGAGCGAGAGGAAGGTCGGAGCGCTGCAGCCCCGCCCGCTGCGGCCCGGCTCGATCGCTGGATTCCTAGATCGGGAAGAGGTCGCTTTCCGATCTTCCCC